AAGATAACTTTTGACGAAGAGTTGTTTTATTTTCAACAACATTGGATATCTCGTTCCCAAAGAATGAGACTAATGGAAAAGCTAACATGTTTGGTTGTTACACCCTTTTTTTTTTTAAATAACATATTAAACTTCTAATAAAATAATTAATTCTTTCGAAAATAATTTTTTTTTATTTCAAAAACAAAGACGAAAAAAATTGCTTAACTAACCTGCTTTTGTTTGATTGATTTAAAAATTTATTCTTCATATTATTTTTAAATAGTAATTAAGAACACTTTAAATTTATTTTTATGAATTTTTTATGTTGATTCAAAACTATCGCCGCCTTGTCTCTAGTCCACCACACCACTAGGTCACCTCCGCCTCCATTACCATTGCCCTAATCGCTATTATCATTGTCGCCTAAACTTTGTAGGAACAGTGACCATTGTGCCACTGTTCCCACTGTTATTTACCTAAATGCCACGCACCTGAACTTTTTTCCCAAACTGTCACGCGGGCTAGTTCGCTGGGAGTAGTAGCGACCTCGTAATGCTGAGCTGTCAGCTTCCTGGTGGTGTCAGAGTTCGCGACTGACGCAGGCGACCTCTGTTGCAATTAATGCCTGACCAGCCAAGCCACGTGGCGTGCATGCAAGAGAGGTCGCAACTGACGCAGACGACCTCTGTTGCAATTAATGCCTGACCAGCCAAGCCGCGTGGCGTGCATGAGCGAGGTCGCTGCCCACGCAGGCGACCTGTGCCCAACGGCTACATTTTCACCCTATATAAACACCCCCCCTCCCTTTCATACGTCTCCCCATTTTCTTTCTTTCTCTCTCTTAATTTTCTCTCTCTCTCTCTCTCTTAATTCTCTCTCTCTCTCTCTCTCTCTCTCTTAATTTCCTTGCTCTCACATTTGGTCTTAAGTCTTCATTTGAGGTTAGTGATGTATCATTTGATTAATTTTTATTTTTTGTTTATTGTTAATTAGTTGTTGTTTAATATATTATATGTAACATAAAATATTAGGTTAGATGACATTTTAATTGTTTTATTATTTTATAGTTTAATATTAGTAGTTTAGTAATTACATTTTAATGTTAGTAGTTAAATAACATATTGTTTAATTAATGTATGTAATAAATTGTTTTATATGCGTTATTCATTTATAGGTTTTAGAATAAGATAATTTTGATGATTAATGTTATGACACATTAGGTTAGATGACATATTATTTATTTTATTATTTGAATTATTCTAATATTAATAGTTTAGTAATTGCATGTTAATTTAAGTAGTTAGATATTTTATAGTTTAATTAATCTATTTAATTTAATTGTTTTATTATTTTAATTAGTTTAATATTAGTAGTTTAGTAATTACATTTTAATGTTAGTAGTTAAATAACATATTGTTTAATTAATGTATGTAATAAATTGTTTTATATGCGTTATTTATTTATAGGTTTTAGGGTAAGATAATTTTTATGATTAATGTTATGACACATTAGGTTAGATGACATATTATTTATTTTATTATTTGAATTATTCTAATATTATTAGTTTAGTAATTGCATGTTAATTTAAGTAGTTAAATATTTTATAGTTTAATTAATCTATTTAATAAATTATTTTATATGCATTATTTATTAATAGGATTTAGTCAGGTTATATTTTTATATGTTAATGTGTCTATTTATGTAGTTAATAAGTTGTTTATTATGCAATAAATAATAATATTGAATTAAATAAAATAATTTATTTGTAGGATTGAAAAATAATTGGTGTTAACTTTGAACATTGACTTATATAATATGTATGTTAATGTTATTAGGTGTAGTACTTTTTATTAATGTATAATTTAATAATATTAATTGTTTGATATTATTTATAGTCTTGGCATCTAGGTTAGAAAAGAATTATTTTAATTTTGTTAGATTTTGTATTTACTAAAATTTAGATTATGCAATAATTAAAATAACCGAATTAAATAAAATTAGCGTGTTTTAGGGTTGACAAATAAATGTGACAAAGTCTTTTTACCACAATGTTTGTGTTTATTTAATTATTTTTTAGTAATTAGTATTTAATTTTAGTATTTCTTTATTAGTAATTAATTATGGAGTATAGAATAATTAATTGAACTTTAAAATTAATATATTTATTAATCAATTTTGTATTTATTATTTGTAAATAGATTCATGGAGCAACAGAACCCGCAACAGGACCCGCACCAGACCTTCATTGACCCTGGTCCATTGGTGCCGTCTCTCCTGACGTTGCAGGAGAAACACATTTCGACGTACGTATGGAACAGATCTGGTGACGCAAATTCAGATGATCGTGTACTGAACGTCAGACACGCTGCTTCATGGGATCATCTAAATATACCCGAGGAGATCCATCCTTACCTGCAGCAGGCAGGGTTTTATCACATTGCGCGTCTGCGCAACCATGAGGTTGGTGATACATAGAGTAGATAAATAAAAAAATTACATGTTGTATAGTTAATCAATTGTGATAAAATGTAAAATAATTTTTTATTGTCAGATTGACCACCATCTCATTTCGGCCCTTGTGGAGAGATGGCGTCCTGAGACGCGCACATTCCATATGTCCATGGGTGAGGTGACGATTACTCTGGAGGATGTCCACCATCTGCTTGGACTGCCTACAGATGGAGAGGTTGTATCTGGCCGCGTTGGAGGTCATCCCTTCTCCCAGATGGTGGGAGATTTTTTGGGCATTCGGCCGGGTCGGTCGCTCGACTTATATAAAAACCAAATTTCGCTTACATTTCTGAGGGAACGGTATCTAAATTGGCATGAATGGTCTGGCAATGAAGTTGACCGTATGCGATACACACGTGCATTGATTTTGCGCATTATAGGTGGTTGCCACTTCGTTGAGACTGCATCTAGCTTCGTCCATGCGCGGTATCTCCTATTTTTGGATGATTTTCAGAGGACTAGGACGTATTCTTGGGGTTCCGCTGTCCTGGCTACTTTGTACAGGGAGTTGTGCAAGGTTACTGACCCAGGATGATCGGATATGGATGGCTGTACTCTGTTACTACAATTTTTGGAGCAAGGTATGTCTGGTTTTTTTGTTTGTCTTCATTTTCACTGTCTGTTACGTTAATTAGTAATTTTTATTGTGTTATTGTTTTGCAAGTTTAATGAATATGTGTCCATACGACGTCGTTACTCCCACATCAGACGATATCGTCATCACATTGACGTTATGCCTACCCGCAGGATACAGTGGAGGCCATACGACGGATTCGTTGGGCATCCCCCCTCGTCCGAGGAGTCACGCAGATGGTTAGTTGTATGCCCACTCATACACTACCAGATTGTTGTCTACCAACAGCCGGATAGAGTGCTGAGGCAATTTCATTTTAGGCCGCCGATACCGAGCGATCCTTTCATGAGTTCAGAGCTGCTGACCATCACCCTGACTGGTAAGTGTGATGTTGACTGGAGGGACCGTCATGGACTTTATATAGCGCAGTGGCATTCCAGGGATGCCCTCATTGTGCAGGGTCTACAGCCCTTGCAGGGAGAAGGTCATCTGTCTCTCAACAGCACGTACATGCAGTGGTATTTTCAGCATACGCGTAGATGGATGATGCAGAGATCGGCCATTCGTTCTCATGTGGTACGTTAATTTTAGCCCTTGTCATTAATATTGTTACATTTTGTATTTTTTTTTGTAATGACATCATACATTTAACATTATATTCGCTTCACAGAGTGATCGCATGGAGACTGTTCTGCATATGGCATCAGACGAGGCCCAAGGAGCATTCACATATCGCCAGATATACGATGAGACCCTTCAGATGATGTCCGCATTCGATGAGTTTGGCAGACTGACAGAGCCTGGAGAGGCTGCACCTCCGCCGGCAGTGGTGCAGACAGTGGAACCGCCTCGTCATCCGCGTGTTAGCCAGCGTGCACGCCACGAGGGACTGCCACTGCATCATCAGGCTCCCGCTATGGCTGATAGGCCTGTGCTTGTGCAGTCTCTTCCGCCCCGTCCAGCCGGTCAGTTTTATGCCCCAGCTTACCCTCCAGGTGAGTTGTCGCAGCCTTTCTGGTGGCCTCCCCCAGGCGGTCCGTCTCAGCCTAGCGGGTCATCGACTCAGTTCGGGTACCCATGGTTTTCAGCACCGACGCAGTCGTACCCTGGATATCAGCCACACTTCACTCAGCCATTCCCAGGTCAGCAGTTCCCAGGTCAGACCAGTGGTCCATCTTATTCTCATGTTGAGCCTTCTGCGCACGAGCACAGCCAGTTTCCAGGACAGTCCGGTTCGCATCCTCAGCCCGGTCTGCAAGAGTTCACAGAGGATTACATACCCACATTCGATTCCCCTGCCGTCATGGCCACACCGGAGGCATTTTCGGCTGACTTCTTTCAGTCACCCTCATCTGGTCCTACAGGTTTGCTTGCGCAGGAGGACATTGCGGGTACTGTGGACGATATTGATGCAGACCCAGGAGCGGAAGCAGACGTTGCACCCGGAGGAGACGGTGAAGACGTGGTCAGGCGTAATCCAGATAGACAGGCCAGGGAGCGCTGTTTCTTGTCACCATATGAGCATAACCAGGCACGTTGTGCCAAGTATCATGGGCGGCCGCGACAGCAGTGATTTGTTGTTTTATCATAGGACTTTTTATTTTATCAGAGCATTCATATGTATGTAAATGATCTGTTTTGGACTCCATCCTTTGATTTCCATTTATTACTGTATGCTGACTATTATGTTATTGTTAGATTCATGTGGTGTTATGTGCTATCCCTAGTTAACTATCCGAAAAGAAAATTATGAAACCAGTAAGCACACGATGATCATATTAATTAACATATTACATTCAATAAACATCACGACTAACGACAACCCAGAATCAAATAAAAGCAGGCATAATTATAAACGAAACAAAAAAACGTGTGACAACACACAGGCAGAAGAGGGTAACCAACGTTTCGACAAGTTTGTTTCACGCAACATTTAATTGCCTTGCAAGCGAGATGGACAACGACGTCTGTCATGGCCAACAACCCTACAATAACCACATCTTACCTGCTGGCTCACACCCTCGCGCTGATCCATTTCGTTACGGATTCGGGTACTTCGCGGCCTGCCTTTTTTACGTCTAAGTGACACATCCGGGAGAATTGTTGGGCCTTGGCTGGGTGGGATGAAGTCTTCATTACCAATTGGATACCATTGCCCGGAATATACCTGGCATTGATATGACGCACTATATGCAGGATCAATGTATTGTAAGGGGTCATGATTTACTGATTTGCACGCAGCAATCACATGACTACATGGGTACCTAAAAGCAGTAAACTCACCACATTGACAGGCCCGATCCTGTAATGAAACCCACCATTTCTTTCCTCCTCTATGAGTTCTTTGATTGTAAGACTCTTGAACTTCAAATCGTGTTTTTTGTCTGTCATACGACGTAACAAAGTGTGTTGCAGCATTTTGTTGGTTTTTAACATATTCAACCCAGAACACTTTGGCGAAACGATTACCTTTGTCCATCTCTTCCCGAGCCTCCTGCCCGTGGGCCAAAAAATATTCGTTAAGCCTAGCGTACGTGATGCGCACCAAAGACGTGATTGGTAAGTTTCTAGCACCTTTAAGAACCTTGTTAACACACTCCGACAAGTTTGTAGTCATATGGCCAAATCGCCTTCCTTCAGCATCGTATGATATACTCCATTTTTCCTTCGGAATTCGATCAATCCATGCTGCTATCTGTGGGCTTGATTCTTTAAATTTTTCCAAACCAGCGTCAAAATCCAATCGCGATGTAGTGTAGCCTGTACATGACAACACATAATTGTTAATAACTAATAACATCAGCGTCATACGATCATTGTAACAAATTAATAAAATTCTAGTGACATCCATACCTAACTTCTTTAACTGCTTCTTCAACATGATGTTTTTGAACTTATGATTGAAATTGCTTGCCAGATGTCTCACGCAAAAAACATGGTACGCTTTGGGTGGTTGCCACCCTAACGCAACATTATTGACGGCTGCCAATATACCTGCATGTCGATCAGAAATAAGGCATATTCCATCTTTCTGAGTCACATGGATCCGTAACATGGCCAAAAACCAGGACCAATTGTCAATATTCTCACAACTAACAACAGCAAACGCTACAGGCAGGACATAATTGTTACCGTCAACAGCTGTAGCGATCATTAGCGTTCTGCGGTATTTTCCATACAAATGTGTCCCATCGATTTGGAGCATAGGCTTGCAATAATTAAAGGCATCACAACACTGTTTGAATGTCCAAAAAACCCTTTTAAACACCTTGTGCGAACCATCGAGCCGACCATCAATCCTATGTTCATTCACATCCAGTTTATAGGCAGACCCAGGAGAAAACAATAACATATAATCCAACCATCTTGGCAGAAACGCGTACGACTCATCCCAATCCCCAAATACCCTCACAATTGCCTTCTGCTTTGATTTCCAGGCTTTTCGGTATGATATATGAAATCCTAGACTTGATGCAATCCTCTCCTGTATTAACCCAATTTTAACACTAGGCTCTTCACGTATCATTTCTGCGGTTTGACAAACAACAACGTATTAGCGTTACACTCACAATATTAATTTAAACATTTACCAGATGGTTGACTTACCGATGATCAATTCACAAATGAAACTAGAGTTAAGTTGTTTGTGATCCTGTGAAAGTGTTTGAGATACACACGTATGGATGTTGTTCCACACGCCTATTATCCATTCATGACCGCCTTTTTTCAGATATGCTCGCATCCTCCACGGACAACCATCATTGTGATTTTGACAAATCATTATCAGCCTTTGCGTATCACTTTTTAGTACGACAGTTGTGCGATTTTTTGCCATACAATACTGTTTGATGGCCATTTGTACATCCTGCTTGCTTTCAAATTGCTGGTCCTTATAAAGCTCTTGACCCATTTGCCAATTTGGTACTTGTGCCCCTTGCATGTCATCACACTCTTGATCGGGGTGTGCCCAGTTAATGTGCGTGTAATGTGGTATTTCTGACCAAAATGGAACATTATCCACTGCTTTTTAACACACATTTCGAATGTCGTTAAGTACATAAAAATATAATTAAACTGAAACAGTAAACTATCTTAAAACTCAAATGGTAAACTACCTAACCTGCAGCAGGTGGTGGGTCATGCGCACCAATAATACCCGGTGATGGAATCGGAACTCGATGTATGAGGACTCTCCATGCTGTCGAAATGCATCAACTACTAGTGACACATCTTCATCCTCAACCACCTCCCTCCATTGCACGGGGTTACCAACCTAACATCAGTCGAGACAAGGATTGACCTCGGGTATATTATTTTCTTGAGCTCATTATATTTGCAACGCGGACTCATGCGGAAGATCTTCGTATCTCCTTCAAACACTTGACCATTCAGTCCAAAATATCTTCTCCCATTGTAATATAGAAGGCATATTACATCAGGATTGACCTCGTTG